CTCTTCTTTAGGTCTGGCAGTGGAGTAAATAATGTTGAATAGTCACCTGAGATTAAAAAAAAGAATTTCTCTGGGCTATAAATCCAGTTTTATCAGGGTGTAACTGTGTTAAAAGGGGCTTAATCTACTGGCAAATACTTTAGACAATAGTTTCCCATCCAGATTTAGCAAGGTGATGGGACGATAAGAACCAACATTCTCAGCATTCCTACCTTTTTTATAAATAACAGTTATAATTGCCTCTGTAAGGGTGGGAGGGAGGACTTTATCTGCTAGAGCTTGAGTGAATGTTTTATGCAGGTATGGGCACAAAATCTCACTAAATTTCTTATAAAATTCGCTGGGGATGCCATCTGGTCCAAGCGCCTTATTAGTTTTACTTGAGGCAATTGCCCTCTTGATCCCCTCTATTGTTATTTCTGAGTTTAAGCATCTGAGTTCATCCTCCCCTAGATTTGGAAAAGTGCAGCTATCCAAGAACTTTTTCATAGAGTCACAATCTATATTTTGTTTAGCATATAAACTTTGATAAAATTGGAAATAGTGATTGTTAATGTCTCTGGGGTCCATTAAAGCCTCAACTGCATTATTTTTAATTTTATGAATTGTACTGTCTTGTTCTTGTTTCCTAAGTTTTCTTACTAGTATTTTATGCGATTTGTCACCAAGCTCAGTATTTCTGCTTGGTGCACAAAAAGGCTTTACTGATTTTTGCTGAGAGTAGATTATTATATTCATATTTTAAAGACAGTATTTTCTTATGTAGCATTGTGGATGGCGTTTGGGCATTCTCTTTATCCAGATCTTTAATTTGTTTGTCCAAGTCAAGGAGCTTAGCCCGGTTTCTCTTCCTTCTGGCTGATTTAAAATAGATAATAGTACCCCTTAAATACTCCCAAAGTGTAGCAGGCTTAGTTTCTGAGTTTTCATTTACCACAAAATAGAGAGATCAGTGTTTCCAAATATTCATGAAAATCCTTCTCACCTAACAGTAGAGGGTTGCTGCGGTCTAGTTGCATTTTGGATGTTTAAGGTTAATGTGACAGGGGAGTGATCAGAGATGACAATATTGTGATATTTTGTGTCAATTTTGTGTCAATGACATGTGGCATTAATTCAAATCAAATGTTGCCATTAAATATGTATAATCAAAATATTACAGTACACACAGGTTATTTAATTTATAAATTATTTCCAATTTTTCAAAAAATTGATTTCAGCAAAACAATAACTGTCATTGTATTGTAGAGCTTATGAAAAAACATTGTTAGAGGCACAATTTCTTCGTTTGATTTCCGAACACCAGTGAAATGATTCTGATGCTATTTAAACATGATAAAAATTAGTCAACTTTGAGCCAATGACACAATGAAAACCGACTTTGATGATAAACACGATGATGCTCTAAGTAGAGAAATGAGTACTGTGAAATGTGAGATCTTATGACCACTATAGTGAGCTGTAAGTTCAAAAGTATTGCTGAATAAAAAAACAAATATAACTTAATGAATTGAATCATCTAGATTTTTAAACGTGTCTCTTTGCTTTTGAATGCTGTTGTTTCAAATGTTGAGACAGAAATGAGCAACAACGCCCTCTGCCGCCTATAACTGTGCTTTACAACAAAGGCGGGAACAACCAAAAAAAATCCCTCGTGATTAGGGTTGCCAACTCCCTGAGAAATAAATAAGGGACACCTCGTGGCCAGGGCCGGGCGACCCAGTTGTCTTCACCCTTCCCAGTGTGGTGAATTTTTTAGCTCTTTTTTTGTGTGTGAAATTATTTTTTTAACCATT